TTAGCGCTCTTCAGTAATAAACCTTTCTTGTCCTGCAGTGTCCCATAACTGGATCGCAACGTTTTTCTCGTCAATTCGAGCATTCTTCACATGAAAATCAATGCCTGAATAGATCAAAATTATGATTGAAGTAGAACTGTTCCTTTATCGATAACGCAAATACAACCAACGTCAAGGTAAGTTATTAACTCCAATTTAATTGATATGCTCTTAACTCCAAGATATTAACACTCAGTTGCTATGGTCTCTAAATGTGATAAAATCACACATTCTCCATCTAGACCAAGTGTGATGCGGGGATCGGGAAATTTCGGAGATCCCGTCCCCAATCCCCGTCCTCGTCCCAGACTTTTTTTGAGCTGATGACATTTTGGAAGTTCCCGATTGGAAAATTTCGTCCACGATTTCCCCGTCCCTGACTTTTTTTCCGTCCCCACACCACACTATGTAGACCAGCCAGCGTAAGTGTAGTTTTGCCAACAAGCCAAGTTTTGGTCTAACTGAACATTTTCGATAACAGTAGATCACATTTGAGACTTATTCAGAATTTTGCAAAGATTGCTCACAACTAGTGGAAGAAATTGAGCTGAAACGAATGAACTGAATAACTCACCCAGTGTACTTGGTAAATCTCCTTTGAAAATTCCTCTAGTGATTCGCATAACTATGGATGATTTTCCAACAGACGCATCACCACACATAACAATTCTGAATGTTCTTTCAGGTGGTCCGTTTACCTCATCGATACTCTGCAACGATAATTCACCAGTAATAATTATTGCAATGAAGATTGTATAAATGACTTACCTGAAATGTATTCAACGTTTTGTCGCTTTCAGCTTCCGCGCCGACAGACTGATAGTCATCGTAGCAAATTGTGAGTGAGGGACCGCTTTCTGAAAATTGTTTAAGCATTTTACACGAGTGATACTCTGAAAACTGATAGCTTTGTCTGATAATCTCATGACGGTACTAGGACCGGAAAGAATCGACAATTCCCATCTTACTATTAATATTTTGAATAATCACGGATCAAACTATCAGTGTTATTGAACATTTAGATTCTCAATATAATTAACTGCGTCAAAGAAATATGATGCAAACTGATGACTATCATCACATTTGATCTGTAGCATGACAGGAAGTGTGCTCAGCTGCGAGAGGACAATCCCGGTGCATTTCAGCATTTAGCATTTACTCCTCCTCGTGAGATTAGTCTGACGCTTGGGTAGAATATTAGATGTTGAGAAACAGCTATTGATAACCTGTATCATCATCAGGGGCATAGCTGGATGCTTGGCTGAGCTCTTTTTGTTCGGTCATTGAATGCTCAATAGGTTCACGATGAAACGACAAAGGTGATGGCGTTCTCTCAAAGATTAATGACAAGAATTTTGACGGTGAATCACAAATAATAGTTGCGTGTGAAAAGGTTAAGTCGCTGGAATCACTATGAGCCTAATTTAATATGATAGTGAAATTAGATCGTATTGAATATTCCCAGCTTTTTCTTTTTTCGACTCTACCGAATATCATCAGTTCATAGGATTACCGAATTAATGTTAATATTTGACTGTTTATTTACGATCTCAACTCACCACATTCAATTGTTTGTATGCTAACGTTCGTTGATCAAGTGCTTCTCGCAAGCTATCATTTGTATCATGCAATTTCTTGTTCGCATCGCTGCAAAAAAAACTCAAACTGTCAAAGTGTCCATCGGAAATTTCGAGGAAGACAAGTGTAGGATGTATCAAAAAGATAACTAAAACAGCTCAGCTACCCTTCGAAGAGTAGCTGGTAACTTTTCAGCGGTTTAATCCTTCCAACGATAGCACTTACTATAAAAGATGTAATTGTCGTCGAAGATTCTCGCTTTCTTTTGTCGTTTCCATAATCGCTTCATTGTCACTAAGCATTTCCTCACATCTCGTTTCGTATTCNCAATTCTGATTTGATGACAGCAATTTCCAGATGTGCTTCGGCCAAATTCGATTTCAGGTTTTCATTCTCGAAACTCAAATCCTGAATGATCGCGGATTCCAGTCAGTCTTTCGCTGTAGAATAACATTTGTTTTCATGATTTTTGATCACAAAGAATCATCTGATTAGAATCCGATGCTGATTCAGTGGATGACAATGATGAGATTCAAGATGAGTTCTGCAATTCTGAACCTGCAACTTTGCCTTCAACTCCATCGCTTGTTCTCCTTTTACACCTTTATTTTTGATTGTGTCTTCCATCTTCTGCATTGATAATATATTCTTCCTCAGTTCAACCATCTCTTGCTCCATTCGTAACCTCATGTCTTCTTTCTCTTGATCCAATCGTTTCCTTTCCTTCAACTTCTAATTAATGCACACGATCGATTAAAATGCTTTTTATTTTCTGCATTCATCGTTACTTACTCAACTGAATTACTTACAATTGCTAATCAATCACACAAATGCAATAATCATCGTTGTGTATCTCACTTTAAATGCGTCACTAAATTTTAAATTCGATGCATCAATATCACCCAGTCAGTTTCACTTTAAAGCTCGATGCTAAAAAGTACTTCGATATAATATGGTGATGTTATTTGTAATTATCCGGACAATGTCATCTTTAAGTATAATTAATCAAAACTGGATGAATTCACCTCATCACGGGCCTTCTTTTCAGCATTCGATATATGCTGATCAATTTCATTCTCCACCTCCAGCATTCTACGACTGTACGACTGTCGTTCACTAAACGCAATAACTTTTTATATTTTCTTCGTTGTTGCTATTATATTAGAAAAAGAATTTCCAAAAAGAATTTTCGCTTGCTTTCTCGCGCTATTTGTTGAAGATACTATTTGTTTAATAAGGTAACCAAATTTAAGGCATCTGTCCACTGACCTTTCAAAGACTTGCTGCAATCTAGCATTTTCGTCTCTTTGATCCTTCATTGTTTTGCAAAAATTGCTCACCACTTTTTCAAAGCGATGTAAAATCTCTGGCATACCAGATGATTGCAGTTGTTCATAAAGAAATAGTAATTCATCTTGGCTGAAAATCGCAACTGTTTGCGAGTTTGCTTTAAAATTCGCTTTGTCATCATTTCCATGAGTTTTCTTGTCACCCTTTTGCGGTACTCGACGTATTTTGAATTTGAAGACAATATCATAAGTTTTATATTTTGAAAATTTTTGTTTTGTTACTTAAGGGCAATCTGCATTAGTTCGACAAGGAATTATGATTCTGTACATTGTTTCTATTTGAAATAAACATATCCTTCTAAACTGTTCTCAGAAATATTCTCTGTCATTCATTTATAGGCATTTAAAGACATCTTTTTCGTAGTTATTATTTTTTAAAATATCATTGTGATGAAGAAGTTCTATACCATGGAACGGTAAGATCGATTTTATTGTATGCGTCCGAATCTGAATTATATACGACCGTGTCACCACGTGTAGATCCCTTCAAACTTTCCGAAAGCTGCAACAGTGCGAGATTCATTCGAAACTTGGGACAAATTCTTCAACAGACATTAGCAATTGATGCCTAGCTAGAAGATATCTCATCGTCATCTATAGCTTTATATTCAGTATATGCAAATTTTGAATGTGTGATCCTCGAAAACAAAGCATTTTGTCATCCCTGATGCTACAGATTTAGGTTCAGGTTTTCTAAACGATTGACGATTCGCCCTTTGTTCTCTCAATTGAACTCGGGATCCCCGGACCTCGATGGCTCTTATTGTTAGGCTCAAATTCGTCTTCGATCCAATCCTAATATTAATTGTCATCAATTTCTCTAACAATAAGCACCGCCCAAAACTGTGATTCCTTTTTCAGAGATTACTATGAATGGACGGAACGAGCGAATGTGTGGAATACTTTCTAAGAAATAATTGTGTTAGATTAGTCCAAAGGAGGTTTATCATCCGAAACTTGGGAAAAATTCTTCAAAAATGAGATTTTCTACTGTTGAACTGAAAAATACGAAGATATGTTATTTCAATAAATGCCAAATAATCGTTGTGCGGCTTTGCGCAAGACGAACATTTCCAAATAAGAACAGCTTCTGTTTGAAATGATCAGAATTCATACCGAGAATGAATCGCTGTTCTCAGTTTCTGAAGTGCCTTCGTAGACCGTTGAAAAATCAAACTGATGCGATACAAGACCGCAATCGCTCTCAACTTCAACTACACTTGCACGTCGTTTCATACCACTGAACCTTAAACGAAAACATTTCAATATTTGAATAAACTTCTCACCACAAAATTATTCGGCCGAATCTCGACAAATAATCTCTTATAATAGATTATATCACGTATTTCACTGATTGTAATTTGACAAAACTGAATAAAAAAAGATTCATAATTCAGAATCAATAAGTGTTTTGTGTATTCACTTACAACGTTGTTTTAGAAGAATTGAGAAACTATGAGTGCAAGTTTTTCAGGAATGAAGCTTTTTCTAGTTTGACAAAGATGTTCTGCTCGCATTTGTATTCAAAAGACTGGGAATAGACATTGGTTAGAGGTTAGGCCCNCCGAATGTGAGCTTATGAACATGTTGTTGATTTATCAATCTTGATTTATCTTGGATTACAGCAAGAAGGTTTGTCTTGGATTACAGCAAGTTTCAATTCGTGCAATGCTGTCTCAGATCTTGCCTTCCTATAGTTAAACATGAAGTGAGTTAACATTTGTTCTGGATTGGAATTGAGGATTCGATAGAAGGAACTTTCTCTAGAAGCGTGCAAGTAAAATTGATCTTATCTTTGCTCTCTCCTCTGCAAAGTGCATTTTGGAATCCTCCTAGAAATTCGCAACGCTCTATTTTGCCGGAATTGTCAGCATCAAGACTTGCAAATATGAAGTCAATCTCCTGCAATATGTTTTTTAGTATTGAATGCTACGTTGATTTTATGTGCATGAAAACAGCCATGCAAATAATGTAAAACGTGTAAAAATAATTCGCTTCCATCACTGGTGCATCATCAATGAAAGTGAACGACAATTGCTGTATTCTGGGTTCGAAGATCACTCCGCTATGAGAACCAACGATAATTAGCAGAAAAGTTTTTGCAGTGGCTGAAATTGGATAAACATCTATACCTCATCATCCAACTGCGGACAGGCCGCTTTAAGATCGTTTACGGTAAGGTAGCCTTTATTCTCTCGATCACAAAGATTGAATAAGCGTTCTGTTTCATGTGCGAGCTGATCCATTTCACTGAACAGTTCATCAAGTTATCTGTTACGAATTTTGGAAAGAAAAGGTGTAGAAACGGCAGGCATTGGGCACAACCGTTCGAAAGATGCTACATTTAAGAGCGATAACAAATGTGAATCAGTATTCGACCCTACAACCCCTCTCGACTGAAACTCATACAAAGTGAACGTTGATTGCGATAAGAGAAAGGCTTATTATTATTTACAGCAAACTTGTGAAAGGAACAAGAAATAAAATTATTGAACAAACGAAAAGCAGCATAACAATCAACAAATAAAATTATTCCTTCCTTCTTACATTCCACAAGTGACATTTCATCAAACTTCCTTCATGATGCTTTTTGCTATCTGCTCGGCTAGCGTAGTTTATTGCAGATAGTTTTCATGCACTATTTGCTATCCTTGTGTTATCTTCAACACAAATTGCTTCTCATCAATATTCATGACTGAACTGTTATCTTACACTGGCATTCCATAAATCGATTGAACAATTTGAAATAGGAACAGCCAACCGAAAAGTGATCTCTGACGAAATGCAATTAACAGTTTGTTTCAACAAGCGTAACATGTCTGTTCCGAGATTCAGAGTCAGTGGAATCAGCTTTAAATAGGTCAAATCAGTTCGCCTGTCAGCGAACAGCTTTCTATCAAAAAATCAATCATTTTAATTGGGACGAAAAGCAAAACGAAATCAGTTGTGAATTAGTGGTTCTCAATCCTTCTACTCGCCCGCATTCTCTAGAAAATTTTAAGACATCCTCCTCGCACCCCCTACAACAACGATTAATATCCTCGCATTCCTCACAACATCCACTCCCTATCTGTCATCCACTACAGTGAGTGTTTGTAGCCTAGATAAGTGAATATCATTAGAGTAGTTTGTTTCTAGCCTTCTCAAAAATATATACGTTAAAGTCCACCCTCACTTTCTTTATATGCATACATGTATGCGTTGAAATCCCCTCGCCTACTTTAATGTCTAGAAAGTGAAATGATATCTGGCGCCCCTTTGAATACTACTATCTCGCACCCCTGGTTGAGAATCCCTGGCCTAGGTCTCGTCTCACAGTTGACTTTGGCAGTTATCTAAACAGATGCAATAAAGTGCGCGAATATCATGCATGGTAGTTCATTGGACAAAAGAAGAATAAGTCCGTCGAATTGGTTCTTTGTAACTAGCCAATTTTCGGCTACAGTTTTTCAAGTGGAAGTTTGCGACCTGATTTAGACGGCAGCTATAACGAGCGCTGTTTACATGTGGCATTTGTTGAATGTTTACATATCCACAACGATAAAATGTACGTGTAAGTTGATATGGTATTCCTTAAAAGACGCTTCACTACTGTGTTCTCATCGATAAATAACATCAGATTATGAGAAATCGAATCCGCATCAATAAATTATTCATCGACACCACTCTCTTCATCGATACACAGTCAAAGCAACTCATAATGAAATCTGATTGATCATAAAAGAATTATTTTCGCGGAATGCCGTATGCATTCACAAAAAGCATCTATAAGAAACTGTTCATCATGAAACTGAACTGATGAAAAGGAATTACAAGAACCAATGAAGCATCATTATTGTGATCAAGCAACTCAACAACGAATTTCATAACGACGACCGGTCTCTGCTGTCGGCTGATGTGTACAATAGAGGCAGATGGTTGGCATGAATAGCTAAATCACGAATGTTGTTTCGCCGTAACACTATCCACCTAATCCCTAGATTGCTAACATATTGTTCAATATACAGTCCATCAACAACGTTCATTGAACATAGCTAATCAATGTCAGCTCTCATGCACGACTCATGCAAAAACAATTTCGTAAAATTTAACTCGATTCGTAATTTTGACATAAGTCGTCGAATTGGTAGAAGTCTAACAGAAGTGTCATTTATTACATCCAAATTTTAAAAAGTACTCGTCAGAGTCTAGCCGTATGCTCAAGTTTATGATGTTTTACCGATAGTCTTTTGTTTTATATCATTCAATATTATCCATTTGTCAATGATACGACTGATGAGAATGAAAGAATAACGTAGTTCAAATAACTTTTTTTGTGATTATTCGCAACTTCTCATCAATGTCTTCATAATAACACCGAAACCCATCCTTTAAAAGTCTAATATACCTGCGTCAATGCTTTCCCTAGAACTCATGAAGGTGTTGGTATTTTATGGTATTCTGAAAGACCATGCTTTTGGTTACAGGAAAAATATGTTTGCTGATCAGTTCAAATTCCACATCCGATAGTACGCTCGCATAAGATAACAAGCTTTGTACTGATAGGGTATGAGACGTTTTGGCGCCGGAATGTTTCCTCTTCGTAGCACGTTTCGAATACATTTCTCTAGGCAACAATCAAACTGAATGCATCAATATCTTCATTAGTCGCTCAGACATACAACCACGTTCGAGCTTACAAATGGCTAAAATATAAGACTCATGATCATAACTTGTGGAACGCTTAGAGGTTTGAAATTTCGTAACATCAGCTTAGTCAAAAAGTTTGGAGACTCGTATATTTTTCAACATTAGATTATTTCGGTAGAATACTCAAATGCCACCTTGATATAAGGCTATTAAGTCTGCTAAAGAGTTTGATATGATCCACTTTCTGAATTTTATGGAGCACTTTATTTTTTGAGACCAATCCAAATACCTTCTGAAAAATGCGAGAGATCGACTGCTAAATGTTCATCAATATTTTTTGCATTCAAGGAAAGTTTACTAAAGTTTGGTGATGCTGAGTAACTAACTGAGGTATGTTGAGCCTCGGCTCGCGTAAATACCGCCGATTTCATCCGAATATTTGAGTTCAAACGGTTATCCAATGATCTCTGGTGATAGTGCCAATAGAAGGCATGAATCAATGAGGGAAAACACAAGAAAGTATTGCTTTCGATTGAGGACGACATGTATGGACTAGCACTAGTGGAATAGTGAAAATTTTGTGTTTATCTCGAGACAAACCGATTTGGTCTTTTTTAAGTGAACTGACATGGAGAAGATTATTGAAAAGTAGACATTCACATTCTTGAAAATGAGTATGAAAAAGAACTACATTGTCTGCATAATCGAGGTTTTGTATTTATAAGGATCGACTTGACCTGTGATAACTTATCAGCAACAAATGCTAAAACTAATACTGCGAGTAATGGTGCTACCAATCATTGAGGCTACGAGAAAACCTTGAAAAAGTCAGCATAAACGGGATAATCAGTGTGCATATTTGCTCGAATTCTGGAGAAATAATTAGTTCGATAGGAAATTACGATTATTGATCCCTATTGGGCTCACTTGATGAACGGTTCACTTGGCTGCTTCAAAAAGAAACGACAGTTAAAGTTAGGGCAATGGTTAGAGCAATTTGCACTCTTCTTCTTCACACATGCCCAAAACTACTCAGCCTTTTTCTCGAGATTGAGTTCTCGAAAGAACTGAGCAACTATCATATTCGATTGACTTACTACTGTGGTACCATTGTTCACCGATAGATTTGCCAAAAAGATCTGTGTGTCAAGGATCAGCTTGAAATTTAGGCTACTGTAGGTTGTTGAAGAGCATTTTCGAGACAAGAATAAAAAGTTCCGTGAATCAGGTCCACTAAGTACGTCTCTAAATTCTTATATGAGATAGATATGGTGAACAGTACAAGAAAAGCTGGAAAAAATTAAGCTGGCAAGACGGGTATGAGTTTCAAAATATTCACTCACTTGTTATGCTCAATAAATAATGTTGTGTCGTTAAAAATTCATATTTTTTCTAAATCGCAATACAGATTGATAGAGAGAATGCTGTAAGTTATCATCTATCATTCATGCACATTACCTATCATTCATCGTAAAGTTAGGCGTGTAATATCTCAAACACTTCAACGTACCAATTGTTCATCTGCGCTTTCTCTCTTCATCGCAACCGAATTCATCACATGTCTGTTATGTGCTCTGTTCTGTTTCTAGAGGTGTGAATGGCGCTGACGCGCGCTGCTCTTCGTTCATGTTCATATGAAAACACGCCTATTATTGTCTCTCTACGCCAATGCAGTTGATTTTTGTGAAAATGAGGTGCATATGCAAGAAGGATTACGCTTCCGTATGAGGATGCGTAATTATTATTTAAGTATGACATGTTCGTTGTTAAATTCGATTGGAATTTTGGGTGTTTGCTCTGTTTTGCTTGCTTTCTCTCGGCGAAAAGTGCAGTCAGTTAGCTTCTCTTAAAGTTTTGCAATTCATGCTCTAAAACAATGAGTTGATTCGCCTTTTCATACTGATGCTGCACACTGCGTGATTGTAGGTTTCTGCGGAGTCCACTATTTTGGTATGATCATTTACAACGTTGTTTTGCTAGTTGTTCGTTCCTAAAACGTCTTGTTTGCTAGCAAACCATTTTTATATTCACTCATCCTTCCTACTCGTACTCTTTTTTTTTTTCAATTTCTTCAGAATCATCTGCTGATCTTTTGAATTTTTGGATTATCATTAGTTGTCTTCATTTCATCAACACTTTGTTTCTTATTGCTCTTCGCACTTCATGAATAGTTTTATTTTTCTAGGTGCCATCGGCAAACTTGAAATTCTTTTCAGTAAGCTGACGAGAGGGGGTCAATAAATCAAATCGAGGTGTTGAGAAAGAATTAGTAGGTCGAAGATGCGCGGATAAGTTTTCGCATTCTGAGGCGTTTGTTGGCCAAAGTGATTGCAAGTGGTCGTTGTATTTGAAAGTGAAAATGGCAAGCAGTGGAAATGACGACGATACAATGGATGCACGTCAAGCAGCACAATTTGGGAACGAAGCTCGATTGAGACATCTGCTCGACACTGGCATCTGTACACCAGATACACTTGATACTGATGATTGCTCTTTGTTGCACTGGGCTGCCATCAATAATCGGTTAGTTCAAGACAGTGAACAACTTGAGGTTGAGGGTGACTGCATCAATTTTTGAATGTGAATGTTTGCTGGATAGATAATGAAGAAATGAATCGTAATTATTCAAGTTTGATTCCGTTCATGATGCGGAAATGAAGAATGAATGTTTTGAATGAATACAGATTGGAAGTGGCGAAGTTGTTGATTGATCGCGGATGCAATGTGAACACAATTGGTGGTGTTCTGGCATCAACACCACTCCACTGGGCCGCTCGTCACGGACATACTCGTATGGTCGCACTTCTTGTCAGCAACGGTGCTGATCTGCACATTCGAGATGTTGAAGGTTCCTATTTTTCACCTGATAAATCTTCTCTGTACATCGGTTTTTGTTCAACTATCGGATGTTCCAAAACTTGATTTCAAACAAACTTGCAAGTTTCTGTGTACTTTTGTGTGTGTGTGTGTGTGTGTGCACCACAATTGTAGATGAATGGAAATTCAGGTTTTACGGCTTTGCACGTTGCGGTTCAGTTTGGCCGAAGTCCCACTGCTGCTTATCTGATTGCCACAGGACAGAGCGTCGATGAAAGAGATGAATCGATGATGACACCAGCAATGTGGGCTGCGTACAAGGTGAATTCAGCAAGCAGTTTTTTGAAGTCAGCAGTTTAAGCAAAGTAGAAATGAAATTGTGACAGTAGAAAAGATTGCACCCTTCCATGGATAATTGCGTATACGTCATATTTTATTAATCTTTGACTGTAGTCAACAATGCCTTGTATATAATTGTATTTACCGTAAGTTTACTGTAATTAAGTATTACCACTCGTGATTATCTTGCATGTCATGATTGGTTATCGGTTTCGGTGAACGTGTGCGGATGTTTTTGATAATATTATTTACGTATTTTGGAATTTACAAAAACAATGGCAAGTTGAGATAATGATGAACTAGTGTTGATTTGAGGTGTTCAGTCGTGATCCGTTACGAATGCTGATCACAATGGGTGCAGATTTGTCATGTACAGATACGACGTATGCGAACACAGCGTTACACTGGGCAGTTGTACAAGGTAATCACTCGGCGTTGAGTGTTCTACTGAAATTCTGCACAGAACTGAATCCTCGTAATCGCGATAATGAAACACCTCGTGACATTGCACACCGACGTGGCGATGCATTCAGTGTTACAAGGTTGGAGAAGGCCGAGCGTGCAAAAGGTCTTTCTTCATCAACTCTGTATCAGTTCATCACCGAAAATGAGGTTAGATTCCAGCATATTTCACATCAGTTTAGTTATCACCGTGTCGTTCAGTCGCATCTTTTTAACTGGATCGACATTGACTGTATAGCTGAGCGAAAGTCACTGTGTTTGTTAGAGATGAGACATTTTTAATAAGTTAAGATTACTTACTTCTGTGTCGATGATACATCAGTAATTGTTGTTCTTAATTTCGACCTGATGAATGTTTACCATTGATTAGATGGAACTTGAGTATTTTCATCGCTTAAAAATCACACTGATTTAATTGAAAATCGAATTGTCTATTGGTCATTTAAAAACTATAGTGACTTTTTTCAGAAGATTGGTTCATGTGTTATGTTTGCGTTGCCTATGGTGCTTTTGTTGGCTATTGGTGTCATACTACATTCAAATCTCCCTTATCTGCATAAAGCAATGTTTTTGTTAGCATTAGCCATTATTGGACGATGTTTATATGGGTAAGTTTGCAATTTCATAAGATTGCTTGTCAATACGTTTTCACCGAATTTCATTGATTCAGTTGTTTTGTATTATATATTTAGCTGTAATTTATTGAAGCTGTTCATATTGTTTAGTAGTCTGTTGTTTGGAGGTTTGCTTGTTGATAACGAATGAAATAAGTGAATGTATCTTGTGCGATTGTTTTATGAATTGAGTCTCGGAGAAGCATCAGAACTCATTTATCACGGCTCACTTCGAATAAGCAGGCGCCTTTTCTCGGTGCGGTGCTCGTTGCAGTAAGGGTGGCATTTTGTCACTTATAAGATCTTTCACCGAGTAGACACAGTGGAAGAATGTAGGTATTTTTTTTGTCAGATGTGGTGTGTTCACAAAATTCTAACATCAATTTCAGGATTTTCGCAACTGAACAGAGATTATTGATGACCCCCTTAGGCGCTGCAGTCGCTTCTAAAATTCTAATCATATTCACATGGTTATATTATTTGCATCAGTTTGCACCGTGGCATCTTCAGATATTATTTCTTATTCTTTCACATTTTGTACCAGCTATTTTTCTCAAAATCGCCTTCTCCGATCCCGGTGTAATTTCCGTGACGCATAAAGTACGTTCTTCTCACAATACTCATCTTACGTCGTTTATTTATTTCTCATGATTGTTCGTTTACATTAGAGAACGGCTGAAAATACACAATTTAAAAATTGTATTCCGAGCTTTTATCAGTAAACGTTTTTGAAATGAATGCCTGATTATCGATGCACTAGAGTTGTTTTTGATCTCGAAGATTCATACAGCGTAAAGTGGTTAGTTAGCACATAGGCATTGCAGACGTTGTGTTTTTATTATAAGTACATATCATTAGTGACACTTTATCAGCAATGAATTCTACAGTTATACTGAAATTGAAGGAACGTTGTCAGATGATTCGTGATATGTGCGAGAAGGAACAGTCGAACTATCCGTTCTGTGAAACTTGTCTCATCAAAAAGCCATCACGATCTAAGCATTGCTCTGTTTGTAATCGTTGTGTTAGGAGGTAATGATTCAATTATCCTTTCTCTTGTTCTCCTTATCTACAAAACGTTTATAATTATTCAATTTGTTGAGTAGAAAAGCTGTGTATTTGTTGTGCTGATGCGAATAATGCGAATGCTCATGATCTGCAGATTTGATCACCACTGTCCTTGGGTGGCGAACTGTATCGGTGAGAAGAATCATCTAATATTCATCATTTATCTCGGTGTTCTTATCTTGTCTTGTTTTATTGTGCTTATTGGAACTCTTAATTGTAAGTTGCATTTCGATTTCTTTTTCACTTTTTTACAGCATATGAATAGATCGATAGACATAAGTTGCTTAGATGGGTAAAGTGATTTTCTTGTAAGAACTGTTTTTTTTTTTTTTTGAATGAATGATTCCAAGACTAGCATATACATCGCTTGATAGCTCTTGATTATTAAACACTGTAATAAACTAACAACAATGTAGCTTTTCAGTGGGACGAGAGATATTTTCTGACTGATTTTGCAAGATAGTTATCGGCTTATCATACCTGAAAAGTACTTTTGCAGATTGGAACCACTCATGTGGAGAGATCTCACGAATGAATATAATTTTTTGTAATCCCTGGGTCACTTACATTGCTCTGCTCTCTTTGTGTCACTTTGTCCGCACGGGCACCATGCTAGTTTTTCAGTGCTATCAGGTGAGTATTGTACATTTTAAATTTCGATGTTCTTCACTGAAGCAGTTTCCTAGATGGTAATGATGTAATTAGTTCAACCATCAGCAGACAAAGATTCAATCTGAAGCGATCATTATTCGTTGTTTCCAAGCTTACATGAGCAAGTCTATGGATTCAGCATTTAATTAAATTTGAGCACGACGCTTGTGCTAATTTAGATCGTATATGAAATGACGACAAATGAGCGACTGAACGCGCATAGATACGCACACTTTCACGACGCCGGTGACATCAGGAGTCCGTTCTCGTGAGTTTAATTTCTTCATTGGATCTGTAACAAAATGCCGCAAACGAGCCAAACCACCTCCTGCATTTTAGCCATCCTTACAAATAATACCAACAAGCCACAGTAGTGTAGATGATGAGAGTGTAAGAAGAAGCAGTTTATCACAGTGGCAACGATTACACAAAGAAAAGCTTATTGGCATGTATCATCATGAACAAACAAACAAACAAAGAATTTACATGATACAATAGAAGAGAATGATTCGAAAATGGGAAGAGAATAGATGAAGGCGAACAAATTCGTGCGCGAACTCTGACGGAAGACTGAGGCAAACAACGCTCGTCCGTTATTTCCTTCTATCTAGCCAAATTTTTCCTCTTGCCAATAGCGATCGGTTACACCAGGACGAGAGTGGAAGTGGCACGCATACATTGAAAAATAGCCATCAACGCCCACGAGATCAAATCAATCAGACAGCGGTGTAATCATCGTGTGGTTTACGATCGATTAGTCATTCTCATGAATGACAGTTCATTTATAAAAGAGTCATTTTGAATCAATTATTAAAACAACGACATGTAAACTTTTAATATACTGCAATAAGGGATCTAACAATGAATTCTGAAAGGAGTCATTAAATTAATAGTTGAGCAAATAGATTCGAGTGTTAAATGCGGTCAGCAGTGATCGACTAAAGTTTCAAATTTTTTAGGAGAGGAAAGCTACGAAATGTTTATCATTTTTGCTGCGAAAGTTCAATGGAGGATACTTTATCTTCTCCGTCGTCGAGTAAAGAACAACTACTTGAATAGTGAAGAAAGAAGATCCGCTCTAAAACGGTCTCATCTCGACCTTCATTTACTGCTTGTCTGTTCCCATTCCGTCTCTTTGCCACTCTGAGATTGCAGCAACTCAGTTTCGGCTCAGTGAATTTCTATTTGTATGATCAGTAGTAAGAATCAAACCGGGGGCTTCCAAAAGAGCTTCGATGATTATCATATGTATAATGAAGGAGACACGGATGTACTCAATAATAAATAATTAAAACAACTGTCATAATCAACAACAACAACAATCATATTAATTTTACGAAATTATATCATGATCATTTTCTTTGTTGTAGTGTATTCGATAACCTGCAAATTTAGCTTTTTAAACGTTGTCCGAATGTCGCGCTGTTTTTTTTTTTCAGGTTTCTCTTCGCTATGCCAACATTTCAAAAAAGAATGTAAGAAATTTTCAGTTCATTAATACGTTCGTTCGTTGTTTGTGGTGCTTGTCGGCCGAATAAAATCCTCATTGCTAAACAGTACATCGCTGTCTATTTTCGTTAGTTTGATAGACTAACAAGTATTAAATTATAAGAGCCTAGCAACTAACTACAACAGTTAATTGATTCACACGTTTTGACAACTACGTAAAATGGAATGTACGCACGTTAAATGTTAAATAGTTGAACCAAGAGCAAACAAACACTGAGGATGAAAGGTTCTTTAGAGACAACATTCGGATGCAAACTATTGCTTGAAATTGAAACCATCATAAAAGTTAATTGAGTACAGTTTCGCATTTACCATAGTAAGCCCATGTAAATGCATGCTTGAAATTTGCAATGATGACTGTAATGAAAACGGGAAGCACACTAAGAAACGGTATCGTTGGTTGCAGATATGCCAAAATGTTCCATTATTGTTATTGGTATGGACGGAAGAAGTTATGAGAATGATCGAATAGAAATGATATCAGAATAAAGGACAAACCATTCCATAGCTTCATCAAGACCCTCTCCCTTGGCGGCTGATGTCTTGAAAATTTGAAAAGTCCTCGTCCTCAGAGCATCTAAACCGAGCGCACGGTGAACGTCCGCTACCGAAAGACAACCCGTAATATCTTGTTTGTTGGCGAGAACCATTAAAACGGCATTCTTTAACTCTTCCTCCTATAATACAAACGAACGATTACTCGTATCCAACCGTAAAAATTTCAAAATAACTTTACTTCAATTCATTTAGAACGAATCGACTGTCAGCATTAATGTTCTCAAATAAATTATCAATTCGCTGAAAACATTCAGCAGTAAGTTTTGGCACCATTTTATAGCTGTACAACCGATCAGTCATACCTCAAGCATAGAGACAAGTTCCTGTTTCGAAATGCCTATCCTATCTTTATCAGCTGAATCCACAACATAAATAACTGCATCCGTATTCGAATAGTAACACCTCCAATAAGGACGAATCGATGTTTGTCCGCCGAGATCCCAAACCTTCAAATAGGCTTGTCAGTAGCAATAATCGCGTCAACAAATACTCATTAATCTGCGAATCAAAAAACTGCAATGATCGAAATAACTTCAACAAATGAAATCAATTTGAAACATTGTTCAGTTCAAAATGCCATCCAAGTGTTTCAAAACTTTATCGGCATCGATCTGGCTTATAATGAAGACCAGAAATTTAAGAATCAATACTCAAAAGGGGATACAGAAGAGGACAATGAATGTAACCTGGAATTTGAGGTTTTTATAAATAACTTGCTCTACATTGAAACCAATAGTGGGGATCGTTGTTACCACTTCACCCACCTAAAATGCAACAACATTAACTCGTTGGTGAAGTTTACAGTAAAATGAATAAGATACACGAAACATTCACTGAGAAGACAATCATCCAACGCTGTTATACCTGCAATCTATATAAAATAGTTGTTTTTCCAGCTCCGTCTAATCCCAGTATTAAAATTCGCAGTTCCTTCTGTCCGAAAAGTCCACGAAAATAGCTTAGAACACCCCCTGAAAGAGCAATAGTCAGGCCTGAAATAATTATTGATGTCGTACAAATGTCTTGGAAAATCATGAAAAGAAGATAGTAATTTTAAGGGGAAATGCATGTGAACGATAATGAGAAGAAATACTACACCACGACGACAAACCCAGCTTGAACCAACTTATCCAAGTCAGACTTAGGAGACTGAACGAACTGAAGAAGTATTAAAACGAACCCATAATTCGATAGGCTGGTAGCCAGCTCAGGCAGATTCTGAAATTAAGACAACAAGACAGCTGCTCAAATACGGATATGTAGTAAATGAGAAAAACGCCATTATTACACTGATCTATAGAGCACGAAAAATTCTAAACTGAGGAGAAGACAAATTCACATGAAGCAAAAATAAACCAAAAATCGTAGGTCAAATAGCATTATCACACAAAAACGTTAGGTAGGACAATTTATCTCCCTGATATGCTAATTGGTCAGCATTGTGCAAGTTTATTATATTCAGCACTCATCATCATCTACGTTCTCAGGAATGTTCGGATGCGCAAGTGCCATGCCTTACATATGACTGACAACCGTCGACTAAACACCAACACACGCTTTCAACTCTTCAGCCTCAAATTACTTGCAAAAAGCCGTTAACCTCTCCCGAACCATTACTCCTTAAAAATTGCCATCTCATTTTTGATGGTAATCATGAAGGGCAAATCGTGTATTTGCCACAAATTGCCACGCAACTAAACGATTTTCGTTACGAGAAACGCCAAAACGCCAAAAATAGTCGTTTGTACATATTGTGGTGAACGATTCAAGAAGTTAGCCTATAAGAGAAATGAAAATTTGTAATATTTGTTCATACTGTTCATCTTTGACCCGGAAATATCAGAGGTAAGCGTAACCAATCAAAAAAAACGTGTGAAGCAAATAAAAACGAGTGGATGTCGAAAACTGCCGAAGTTATATTGGACCAAACATTGAGCGGAGCGCCAAGAACTGTTGTTACGGTGATTGTTAAAAGTTTCATACCTTGCGCCGATGGCTGATCACTTGCATACAGATCACCGGTTGAGTGTTGTAAAAAGTTTTTGTAATTTTGCAATTTTCAAAAATGAACAACAACTGAGAATTTCTGTTTATGAAAAACGTTACTTAAATTCAATTGATTCAGCATAACCGTTCAATATTATGTTCAAACTGTCGTTTACGTGAATCTGATAACGCCTCAGTTTAAAACCGATAAACACATTTGTGGAATGCACATGATATTTTTCTACTGGGCATGTTGTATTTTTGAGGATGGTTCCTTTTTTCTACTGGGCATGTTGTATTTTTGAGGATGGATCCCTTAAAACGACTGAATGAATACTGTCCACTAATTTGAAATTAAGAAGCGATTAAACTCATGTCGTGAAAATTCTCAGACGTCTGATTTTGCATGTAATGATGACAAAAAATTTTGTAAGCTTGATCGAAAGTGGTTGTTAACCGAAGTGTTGTCGCAAACTGAATGGAACTGTGGTAGCAAATATTTTTTTATTAAATGAAAGCGTTCGTAAACAGGCTTTATGATGTATCAGTTTATCAACTGATCGCAATGTTTCATTCTGAATGCTTATCAGAAGTCGATCGGACAAATGCACGCAACATTTCATAATAAGCCATTCATAACTACAGAGTCGGTAATCAACTCAAGTCGCTTAAAATGATAATTGTTGCCGTATTTAGCGATTTTGGGTGTCGCATCTTATTCTTTTTCGATTATTGTTCGTTAATTCATCAGTATTCGACTATTTCACATCAATATTCACTGCTTTTATTTATGAAATTGTAATTTTCAGTAAATTTTAGTCGAATATAGAGCTGGGAAAACTAGTAATTTCTGGATCAAGGCAAAGACAAACTTCTGGAAAATTCGCAGCTAGAGCCGAAACCAGAAATTTCGAAAAGGCGGAACCGAAGCTGGGTCAATTTATTTTTTTCAATTTAGGCATTGGTTTTTGAGACTAATATACCAAAAACCTGTAACAGTCATACTTTTTGCATCAACCTGGTGTTGTCGTATTGCATTATAGCAGAGTGCGTGGAACAAATGTATGCAAAACTAGGGTTTATTCCAAACAATTGTGGCAATGGTGCGTGGCTCGATCGTGACATGAAGGGCCATTGCGTTGATGGCTGCATCTTCGATCAGTAAACTGTAACTGAGTTCATCATCTCGATTGCTTATCACCAGCACACGTTGATAAGATGGTGTCTTTACAACGACTGCTTCTAAACGATCAATCTCCTCGGACATTGTTAACGCGATACGTTGTGAGCCAGGACGAATGAATTTACTGTAAACGTTCGCTATGATCATGAAACTTCCAATAGATTGTCGATGGGTAGAAATAATAATTTGAAATTATTCGATGAATTCATTAGGAGTGATGAATCAATGTTATGTTCATTGTAAAGAAGTAGATTATGAATGTAAAGTGTACTCATTAACAGTTTACAGTTTACCTGAAATGACCCATAATGTAAAACATTGGTTGCTTGTAAAACTCATCTGCGCTAGCATTCACAATAATTGGCGAATCAACGAAATTTTTCACCCAGTTTGGACCACCTTGCAAGTCGAGACAAAGATTCCAGTCAATCCACCCTGCCACCCAGTTGGAAAGATCCTGAACCGATCTGTTCAAGTGGCATAAAATTAACATGGTTGCTACTTCATAATAATACTTTGGCAGAATTGTGTCACTTTTGAATACCTTACTTGCACAACTATGAGCTATTTCGTAAATACAACAACCGTCTTTGAATAAAAGTCCTCCTCTAGGAGATCTGTGAAAAAAATATATCATCTTTGTCAAATGTTGAATTTCTGAGTGTCGGCTCAAGCTGACTGCGAATGAAATATGTTTGCATTAGGCGTACTTCAACACGTAAAGTCAAGTCTTTTTTGGTATTCGCTTACGATTATTGATCCTTAAATGGTGAACTCTTCTTGAATAACCGCTAAACATAGTAGTCTCGGGTTTATATTCAACAAGGAATGCTGGTAAGCCCTGAGAACCGCAAAATCTATTAGAAGATTTGCACGCCTTCATTGGCACTTATTGGTATTTATTATTATAATATCTTTTGGAGTGATACTGAACAAGGAATATTCGATATACCGTAATGATGTCGTGTGCATATTGATCAGCTCGATACCAGTCACCTAGAATGGGTCCGCGGACGATTTCACCAGCTCCATTACAAGCCTGGGTTTAATAAGCTTCGAAAATTGAAAACCAACAATAAATTTCACTAAAACTCATGTATTTAGGCGGAACATAGTAAAAAGTGCAGCAACATTTCTCGTTAAAAAAATTCATAGCACAGATCTGTAAAGAAAATTGTAAATAAAGGCTGAATTACTTCGGTAGCGAGAATGAATTTGTTTGGATGGCGTTGATGTGTTGTTGAGAGAAGTTTTGCGGGTACGAAAGAGTAATCGCCGTACCAGTGAACAGCTATGCCTGATATATATTTTTCAGCATCTTCATCAGACAGCACCTATGAATTCGGATTAGTTTGTCTTCAGCTTTAAACTCAATCCACTTCTGGCTAAAATTCATTCGTCAAAATCATTTTAAAACTCTTTTGAGTGTTGGTCCCTCATCTCATTGAACCTGTTTCATTGGTGACCTGATTTGGTTAATTTCATATTTGATCAAATAGCGGTTCAACAGGCGATCAAAGTAAATGAGTGTAATGGACATATGAATGTGATGAGGTTCATTTCATTTTTCCACTTCCAGAAATCAATTCGGTTGTAATAGTTGACCTGGAACTATCGTATGACAACGCTGAATGCAGTGAACAAATCGATAAACCTACAGAATCAGCCCAGTGTGGCAACAAGTATCGATTATCGTCCATTATCATTAGTTTCACATCTCTGCCAACTGTTGAATTTCGGAGTGTCGGTCCAAGATGATTGCGAATGAAATGCCTTTGAGAATGAATGCAGAAAGCATAATTACGATTTGGACACTTGATAGTTATTAATACATTTTGACTGAGCATCGCAGTCATTTCTGATTAAATGGAAACAGGAAATGAAGATGATTTTTTTGCAACTGAAGAAATTATTTAGCGAATCAAACAGAGTAAATGTTTTACCTTTCTGTTTCACTATTGAAGAACATCGTTTGCCAACGATAATCTGGTTTAGAGCCACTGGTTGGTTCATTTTGAACGGTTAAGCCCCAAAACTTAATGCCATTCGCACTGTATTCTTCGAGAAATCGAAAATCAAATGATTACTTTGAACATCGAAATCTTCAATGAATGAAATCCTAATAATTTTATGAAATCTGTACAGAATAATCAGTTCATACGAAGTGCATTATATTAGAGTGAATAAATTATGGATTGTAAGTGGATTATTGCCTTACTTCACATAGTAATTGGCCCATGTGACGTGATACGTAGAATTTTCATCACCTTTCAGTTTTCCGCCTCCTCGCATGTGGCCATTTGTTTTCATCCATGCAGGTGCAGACCAAGGACTTGCGACTAATTTCAACGAACCATTCGTTAAATGGATAGCTCGATTGATATGAGGAATCTTAACTTGAAGACTCTTTCTTCAGTTTATGCACAAATGAGAATATTTGACTCAAAATATTATTTCCACTAATTTGTTGCAATAGACTTCTTGCAATGTACACGAAACTCATTTGAAAGTATGAATGGAATGATATTCCATCAAAATCAGCGATAATTGATTTCGGGTAATGAAGCATTTCTTCTTTTGTTGTTTAAGCAGCATATGACACTACTTTTGTGTGATTGAGACAATCGCATGTATGCCAAATTAATCTGTTATCGAAGCCATTTTTTGCGAAGTTTTTAAAATTTGTTAGTTCAGACAGAATTCATTGGATTGTTTTCATTTGGTTGATGAGGCCTTGAAAAAGTTTCAAAACTGGCGGTCCAAACACTTTATTTGAACCTTTAAGAATGCATCCTCATTCGTGAGAGTGAAGTGTTCCAGCTCAAAATCATCCTCAGAATCATCATACGAGTATTCACGAGTAGAGAAATCACAGCTAGCTATTGGAACTCGCCCAGCTGAGTACTGCAACCCTTAAAATGAATGAAAGTTACTATTTACCAAAGAAATGTCGCACTCCAGTGTTTAATGATGTCAGTTTCTCTATTCAGGTCCTCTTGAGCCAGTAAAATGATGCTCCATTTGGTGTCAAATTACTTTTCTAACAGGTTTAGGATACCCGAACAACTCCCCCAACAATCTCCCTCAAACTGATTGCGATAGAGGACTCCTCTTTATGGCTAGTCATAGCCTTACCTGAGGTTTGGCTGCAGCCTCAAGATGAACCTCAGCCTGAGCATTGGCCTCTATCCGGGGGGGGGGGGGGGNCCGGGAGGCAGCTGTCTCCGAAGGTAGTTGTCCTCCTAGGTGATTTTCTGGGGATAGCTGTCCCGGAGCAGTTATCCAAATACCTTTCTAACAAATAAACGGCGCCGCTATAGCATCGAAATATCACTTATAGCTCAAATCTCATACAAACTTTTGATGTTCACATCAAAAATCTTGATAATCAATTCGTAGTTATTTAGATAGCGAACAAATCACGTCATTAACTAACTGCATTGATGAAACCGACTAAATCAAATAATTGGTTTCCAGCCGTGAATGCTTTCGTATACACTTATGGGACGTTACTAAGGAATCCATCAAAATCTCTTGAACAATTCTTGAACAAAAAACGATTATTTCTTGAACAATTTTAATCCACCAATTCGTGGAATTTTGATTCAGAAGTGATTACCATGTTCACCAAAATAACTCTGCAGTAATTGTTGCGAAGCTTGAGGTGAAAGTGAATTGATATTAATGCCAGCCGCATCTGTGAATGCTCCGCCAAAGCCAATAATGGACTGATAGTGCAACTGTCCGTTTACTTTGAGTTTAACTGATTTCGAAGCTGTAATTTACAATCGTATTGTGTGTGCGAGTTGCACTTGCACGAATCAGCTGACGATTAACATGAGAAAGCAGCGTATTCTTGAACAAATCTCGCGATCAGTCTGAACATGAGCATTTTCAAAATTTACATGCTTGTGATCTAATCTAATATTGCAGACCAAATGCTTGAAGATGACAACAGTCAGGTGTGATGAATCACATGCGTAGGTGTACACTGTAATGAAAATTTATCTGCCGAAAAAAAACTTCGAATTTTTGCAAAATTGACTGACGTTCAGACACGGAAGTAATCGGCTGAAAATTTGTGGTGGTCTTCTGAAATCGTAGACCACCCAGTGACGACTTATAAATGGCAGCAGCGAATGGCATAAGTTTGCCCAGTTCAGGAAAATCATCGCAATATGTCGCATTGCATACGCAAACAATATTCTCACCATTACTGCCGTATCTTCGCTGTACACATGACCTGTTTTGCGCATCTGGAATGTGTTCATCTAAACAAACACTGTTGAGCATCAAAATCATCTGACTTAGATAAGATTTGCTTTGACTAATCTTCGTAAAACGCACCAAATGACTGTTCATTTCGAAGAATCAAAAATTAACGATGTTGACGTCTTTAACATCGAATGAATGAATAATGAATAAACAAAGTACCGTTTCGAATGAAGCAAGTGAAGAGTAAGACAACAAAGTGAATTACTTCAAGCATAATTAACTGAACAGCTCTACTGAGCAGCTATATAAATAGCAATGCATATCGATTGAGAACATGACGGTTATCATTTGGCACAAGCTCAAAGCATTATCAATTAACACTTTGCAAACGGCATCAACTTTGTGTGCAGTTATATTTCACGTGGACGTTTATCGTTTACGTGAAGGTGTTTATGCGTCATTGTATGTAGCAGAAGAAGAAATAACGCTGTTTAGAACAAAAAGTGCGCATTTTTGCAACGCATCCTTCCAACATTGTGTTTCTCACACTTAGAAGTTAAGTTCCATTACCCAATTCAATAGTGAATTCATCGCTCACTATCAGTAAATGCAACTCTGAACTACCGACGGTTATGAGGTAAGACATGCGCAGAAAGCTTGCAATTTTATACTCTCATTCTACTTCAATGATCAGTCGTCATGTATGGAGTTTAAGAATATCACTGGATAAATATGAACGAAACATTGTCAAGCATTTCTGTCATTAGTAACATTAAAAATGTTGTCGTTCATCACGGAAGAAGTATTACAACAGTTCGGAATACATTCATAAGCGATTGAAGAAGTAGAAATTATCGAAAATTGAAAGAAGTCGATGTTATCAAACGCATGTATTAGAGGAAACACAAAACCAATCATCTGAATCCTATGAAAAATTGTTCTCGACCAATTTAACATTTAACTGAAGAAAGGATCACTGAACAATTTAAAACTCATGAGTCTTCAAGTATAAACAGAAGTGAATGCGAACTTATTTTCACAAATTAACCATTCGGTCACATTAACGATTCAATGTTATGATTTATTAATCTAACAAAATGAACATGAACATATTTCATAATTGGCTAAAAAAAGTGAATTTAAATTCATGTTCAATGGGATCATGAAACAAAACATACTTCACTGACCAATTTGGTATACGAGGAGGCGCGTTTGAAAGAGCGCAACGCAATTCGCTTTCAATCACCAGTCTGGATCGAAGCTTTCTTTTCGGAAGTAACATGTCGAAATATACTTACATTAGGAAGTTACGGAATACTTGTTTCTCCTTCAAAGTCACTTTTGTTCACGCCTGGGTGGGTTAAACACACTCAGAAAATAGGAGAAAGAAAAGAGTGTC